CTTCTTTATTAAATGAAACCAAAGTACATATTGCACTCACATGTTCTAAAAAAAATATAGGCCTTAAAATGGTAATGCTCTGTGACTTCCCACATCAATGCAATGCTTAATCGTCAACAATAGCTCCGAGCGCGCAGGTAGCGTGCACTCCACTCACCGCACGTGACTGTCACGTACCTGATTGGACTAAATGACGAGGTCAGCCTCACTTGTGTCACTAGCCCTGACCCCCCTGGAAGTGGAACAGAGGGTGCCTAGGGATGGGAGACAAGACCGCCAGTAGATGTTGTTTGTAGCTCTTGCAGTTGGAGACTTTGGAAGACTGATGAACCTCCGATTCAGGCACAGTAGTAATATGCAGAGCTGGTATGGTAGATCGCCAGGTGTGCATCAGAGCAAGCAGGAAGCAGGATGGGAGACAAGCCGTGTCAAAGGAATAGCCAGGGTCATCAATGGGCGACAGCGAGGTACCAAATCATAAGCAAGCCAAAGTCAGGAACAGAGCAGAAGTCAGGAACAAGTACGCATGCACATGCGCACGTCTATTCACCAGCCATCTCACGGGAATCCCTTACATTGCCCCCCCCCCCCCTTAGGGGCAGCCTCCGGATGCCTATAAAGCTTGTTTTTTGGGATGAAGATGAAGGTAAGCCTGCACTAACCTTGGAGCATGGACATTAGCGGATGGTTCCCAGGAATTATCCTCTGGACCGTAGCCTTTCCATTTGATGAGGAACTGGGTCTGACCACTCCTCTTTCTACAGTCCAGGATGGCTTCTACTTCATATTCCTCATTACCTTCGACAAGCAGTGGAGCAGGAGATTCTGGACCTCGATCCGGAAATAGATTTGGAACTGTTGGTTTTAAGAAAGAAACATGGAATAATGGATGGATCTTCATATTCTTTGGTAACACTAATTCAAAGGATTAATCTTTCTTTTGATTGTAAATGGTCCCAGGTACCTTGGACCAAGCTTCTTTGAAGGGCAGCTCAATTTCAAGTTTGTTGTAGATAGCCAGACCTTATCTCCTGGTTTCATATCCAGATTCCCCCTTCTTTTTCTGTCAATAAAATCTCTTGTTATTTGCCTGAGCCCCCAAAATAGTTTCTCATAACATTTGACCATTCCTATTTGAGGAAATCCAGCCTTTCTTGTATTGCTGGGACAGTGGGTTCCACCGGCATTTCAGGAAGGAAGGAAGGATGGTATCCATAGTTTGCATAAAAAGGGTACTGTTTGGTAGCAGAGTGGATGGAATTGTTATATTCTAATTCTGCCAATGGAAGGAGAGACACCCAGTCATCCTGTGAGTAAGAAGAGAAACATCGTAGATACTGTTCAAGGGTCTGGTTTGTCCTCTCAGTTTGCCCATTCATTTGAGGATAATACGCAGACGAAAAGCGAAGTTCGATCTCTAGTGTCTCACACAGAGCTTTCCAGAACTTCGAGGTGAACTGCACTCCCCGATCGGATACGATATTGCTTGGAATACCATGTAATCTCACAATCTCTTTAATGAAAGCAGAAGCAGTCTCAGCAGCAGAAGGAGTCCCTCTCAGGGGCATGAAATGGGCCATCTTTGACAGACGATCAACCACGACAAAGATGGTGGTGAACCCTTCAGATGGGGGAAACTCTACAACAAAGTCAAGAGAAATCATACTCCATGGTTTTTCAGGTACTGGAAGGGATTCCAATAGGCCCCAGGTCTTGGCTCTATCAGACTTGTTTTGGAGGCATACCGAGCAAGATCTAACGTAATTTTTAAAATCTTTCATTAAGTTTGGCCACCAGAAGGAACGGGAGACCAACTTTGAGGTCTCGTGGATCCTGAAGTGACCAGCTAGAGGATGGTCATGGCATCTTTTAAGAATGAGAGTCCTGAGTTGTACCGGTATATAAATCTGTTCTTTATGCAGATACAGGCCGTCCCTTAGCTGAAGATGCATTTCCAAGGGGGGTGGATGCTCATCAACCTTTTCCTTTATTTGTGATACAAGGTCTGCTTGCAGGAGTAAAAAGTTTTTAGCTGGCAGGGTCATGTCAGGTTCAGACGGTACTATTGGGTCATGAAACATGCGTGATAGCGCATCGGGTTTGCCATTCTTTGATCCTGGACGGTATGTCAAGTGAACACACAAAGCAAGAGAAGAAAAGTGCCCATCTTGCCTGCCGTGGCCTTAGGCATTTTGCAGTTCTCAAGTATTCCAGATTTTTGTGATCCGTAAAAATGAGGATAGGGTGTGAAGCTCCATCCAGCAAGTAGCGCCATTCCTCGAGTTCCGCCTTGATGGCTAACTGCTCCCTGTCTCCTACGTCATAGTTCCCTTCAGGGGAGCTCAACTTTCTAGAGAAGAAGGCAACAGGGTGAAGGAGGGACTTGGGTCCTTGTCGTTGAGACAATATAGTTCCAACAGCATTTTCAGAAGCATCTACTTTGAGAACATAAGCCTAAAGCAGGATCTGGGTGCTTCAGGATAGGAGCAGAGGTGAATAAGGTCTTTAGTTGTTCAAAAGCTGCTTGAGCCTTGGGAGTCCATTTGAAAGCAACATGCTGCCTGGTTAACTGCGTGACTGGTGCAATGATACCGGAAAAGTTCTTAATGAATTTCCAATAGAAATTAGCAAATCCCACAATGCGTTGTACCACTTTCCTGTCTCCTGGGGCGGGCCACTCTAATACAGAGGTCACTTTTTGAGGATCCATAGCAATGCCATCGGGAGTAATCACAAGCCCGAGGAACTGAATGGTGTTTCTTAAATTCGCACTTTTCAGCTTTGGCATAGAGGTGATGTTGGCGTAACCTACCCAGTATCTTCTTTACATGGTCCCGGTGTTGTTCTATTGAGCTTGAGAAGACTAGGATGTAATCCAAATAAACAATGATAAATAAATCAAGATAGTCCCGGAATATATCATTAACGAAATGTTGGAATGTTGCTGGGGCATTACAAAGGCCAAATGGCATAACCAGGTATTTAAAGTGACCAAAGCGTGTTCGAAAGGCTGTCTTCCATTCATCCCCTTCATGAATTCTGACTAAATTGCATCCACCTCTCAGATCTAATTTTGAAAAGACACATGCCCCTTAGAACAATTCAGGAATCAGAGGAAGAGGATAACGGTTCTTGACTGTTATCTTATTTAGATCACGATAGTCCACACATGGTCTCAGAGTATGATCTTTCTTTTCGACAAAGAGGATGCCAGCTCCCGCTGGTGATGTAGAAGGCCGAATAAACCCTTTTTCAAGGCTTTCATCTATGTAATTCTGGAGGACCTCTAGTTCCAACTCGGAGAGAGGGTAAATTCGCCCAAAAGGGATCTCAGCACTGAGTAGGAGTTCAATAGGACAATCGTAGGGCCGATGCGGGGAAGAGCATTGGCACTCTTTTTGTTGAATACATCCAAGTAACCATGGTAGACAGCAGGGACAAGTTTCATCATCTCTGAATCAGGATGGATGCTAAGAAGAGGAGTCACTGCTCATGGTTCCTTTGGAATGCAATGGTTCTGACAGTAAGAAAAGAGGATTCCCGCGGAGAGCCCGTTAATGGATGGATTGTGCGCCCTTAGCCAGGGCATGCCGAGGATGACCGTAAAAATTGGTGAGGTTATGACATCGAGACTTAGACGTTCCTGATGTCTTGAGGATGAGTGGCAGAAGATTAGCATAGTCTCTTGCATCACTGGGCCAGAACTGATACCAGAGCCATCAGCCAGATGGACTGAAAATCTTTGTTTCTTGTTACAGAGAGGGATATTGTATTGATGAGCAAAGGTAGAATCCATGAAACAGTTACAGGCACCAGAGTCTATAATTGCTAAAACTGAAATAGTTATTCCAGCAAGTTGCAAGTGAAGAAGGAAGGAGAGGTGCGTTTGACTCGTTCCTTGTGGGTGCATCATATGGAACCAGCTAGGAGAGGGCTTAGGAGGTCTCACTGGACATATCAGTATATAGTGACCCGCATCACCACAGTAGAGGCAGAGGTGGGAGTCTTGTCGTCGAAGTCGTTCAGCAGAGGATAAAGGTGGTCTTTATGGCATAAACCTGCAGGGGGCCCTTTTAAAAACATTTTCTTGCTTTAACAAAATAAAATAGAGATTAGAAGAAAGCTTAAAACATTCCAAAATGCTCTTGAATATATTGAGAAGTATTATTTATAGTAAAGTACATCTGTGCTGGGAAGGGGTGTAGGTCTAATATATCTTCAGAACTATAATCTACTGGCTCTAAAACAGTTCATCCTGTAGGTGTGTGAAATTTTCTACCCAGCAGAACCTTTGATGATTGCCAGGCAAGCAAAAACCAGCAGTAGGTAAAAGAGGAGATAATTATTTTGTGATCCAAATACTTGTTCAAGGTCAATGACTTTCCATCAACATACAAGCCAGGCAATGAGTATTTTCAAAGAAAGGGCACAGACATGGCAGCCTATGTGCTTTTTCAGTATGACTGTCCTTTAAGATCATGATGGAAGATGCTTAGGTAGGATTTCTTTATGTGGTATAAAAAAAGACCTTTCAAAATCTGCAATTTTCAGAGAAAGGAGGTCTCTCTATATCCTAGTGTTAGACTGTTCATCTGCAATATTGAGGTATATTTTTAATTAGATTACTTATCTAATACACATATATTTTGTTGCTTTTAAACAGATATGTGTGAACACACTGCTAATATACAGAAATTCTACATAATTTTAATAACCAGATCCCTAGAAAGCATATTCTCAGCAACAATGCAGTTTAAAGCTTTTTTAGAGTATTGAAAGTGGTTGTTAAAACTTGGAATTGCAATTGTAAACTTTCTCTTGAATTCCCTACATCAGTGCAATGCCATGTTTTTACAAAAGGATTTCCATAAAATAATTGTTCCCAAGAATCTAGATTTATACTATATTGCCATAAGTAGTGGGACACCCCTCCAAATCATTGGATTCAGGTGTTCCAATCACCTCCATGGCCACAGGTGTATGAAATCAAGCACCTAGGCATGCAGACTGCTTCTACAAACATTTGTGAAAGAATGGATCACTCTCAGGAGCTCAGTGAATTCAAGCATGGTACAGTGGTAGGTTGTCACCTGTGCAATAAGTCCATTTGTGAAATTTCCTTGCTACTAAATATTCAGTCAACTGTTACTGGTATTATACCAAAGTGGAAGCAACTGGGAACAGCAGCAACTCAGCCATGAAGTGGTAGGCCACGTAAAATGACAGAGCGGGGTCAGCGCATGCTGAAGCACCCAGTGCACAGAAGTCGACAACTGTCTGCAGAGTCAGACCTCCAAACTTCATGTGGCCTTCAGATTAGCACAATAACAGTGTGTAGAGAGCTTCATGGAATGGGTTTACATGGCCAAGCAGCTGCATCCAAGCCTTACATCACCAATTGCAATGCAAAGCATCAAATGCAGTGGTGTAAAGCATACCATCACTGACCCTAGAGCAGTGGTGTTCTCTGGAGTGACAAATCACGCTTCTCTGTCTGGCAATCCGATGGACATGTCTGGGTTTGCGGTTGCCAGGAGAACGGTACTTGCCTGACTGCATTGTGCCAAGTGTAAAATTTGGTGGAGGGGGGATTATGGTGTTGGTTTGTTTTTCAGCGTTTGGGCTGATTATGTACAGATTGGGTACTCTACCTCAGGACACTCGTACTGTCTAGTCATGACAGATCATTTCGCAAAGTATGCGGTGGCTGTACCCACCAGAGACCAGACGGCAGAGTCGCCACTGAAGCGGTCTGCAAACACTTTATACAGGTGCTCGGGTGTCCACAGAGAATACATTCGGACCAGGGGGCATGTTTTCAGGGTACTCTAATGAATGAGTTGTACCAACTGTATGGGATCGAACTTTCCCGCACCACCCCGTATCACCCCCAGGGAAATGGGGCGTGCGAGCGGTTCAACCGCACCTTGCTCCTGATGCTGCGGACTTTGGTGGACCACCAAAAAGCTTGGTGGCCCGAATACCTACCTGAACTGATGTGGGCCTATAATAACAGGGTAAACAGTACAACCGGATACTCCCCACATATGCTCATGTTTGGGAGAGCCGAACGGGAGATTGAAGATCTCCACATGCCCGATCCGATGGAGCCACCACCAAGAAATACTACCACATGGGCGCAAGAGCACCGCCGCCAGCTGAGAGCGATCCACAAGGTTGTGGGGGAGTGCCTTAGACAAGTGGTATACCCCAATCCAAGACCAGTGCAGAAGGAGGGGTATGCCCCGGGTGATCGAGTGATAGTCAAAGCTAAGCGGCCATCTGGAAAGTTGGATGGGCAGTGGGAGGCGGTCCCATACACGGTGAAGAGGAGGGTAGACCCTGCCATCCCGGTCTATGAGGTAGAGTCAATAGGGACTGGGGGGCCCTCACGAAACTAGAGGGGATGCGTAGAGGGGATGGCTCCTCCTGCTCAGAGTACAGAGGAAATCCCTGTGACTTCACTGTATCCTGGGGAGCCTACCCCGGTACACGGCTTACAACTCTGTGCAGGCCAGTCAAGTTCCTCCACCCCAAACTCGCTCAACCATGTCTTTTGGACCTTGCTTTGTGTACTAGTGTGCAGTCATGCTAGAACAGTAAGGGACCATCCTCAAACTTTCCACAAAGTTGGAAGCATGAAATTGTCCAAAATGTCTTGGTATGCTGATGCCATAAGAGTTCCCCAGGATACAGTGAAGTCACGAACGAGGAAAGCAACCCCAACACCAGCTTTTGCCACAACAGAATTTTACTTAGATGTGGCAAATAAACACAACCACAAATGCTGGAAACATACAATAAATTTACATACACCCAGCCCAAAGGCTGAGACCCTTGTGCTGCACAGCACGGCGCCTTCTGTTGGATGAAGGTAGAAAGTGAAGTAATTTACCTACTGGCGGGCACAAATAAGCTGCCACACCTTACCTGTTATTACCCTAAAACAGCAGGAATCAGTGTATGGGTGTACGGTATGGACTAGTCTGCGGTGCAGCACAACAGCTTACAATCTTACCCAATCTACAGTATTCCCCCTCCCATAACTGGTACTGTAGCACATGCCTGAGTATTCCTTCTGAGCAAAACGCCAGTCTGGCTTGAATTTGTAGAATTTTATCAGCTCTCCAATGTGAAATGTCACTTTTAAGTTGTGGAGTCCTTCCAATACTCAGTAACAACACTTGTGGCCTGACACAAACAGAGACCCTAACTAACTAACTATAGGCCTGGATTCAGTCTCAAGGCGCCAACACTGAAATCAGGTGCATGCACAATCTTACCGACCCAGGTCTGCTTTGCATCCGCTGGTGACTCTGAACAGAACAAATATCTCTCCAACAAGCATGCGATCTTGCCATATATGTTGCTTAGTTCCTCTGGTCTCATCAGCTTCCTGGCAGCAAACTCATCAGCTTCTCTCAGCTGCAGGTCTGGTTACTGAGGGACGCATGCACACCTGGATGTCACCGGATTCTCAGCTCACACAGCCCCTTCATACAGCATCGTCCAAAACATGGCTGCAGTCTCCTCTTCCTGTTCTCTCCAACTCTGAGTGCAAAACTCCACCTCTTCAAGAATATACAAATATCTATGCAGTCTGAGGCTGTGTTAGAAAAACAGTGACATCTTGTGGCTAAACCACAGAATATCAGTCAAAACATTAATTTACTTCCACACAGTGTTCAAACAATGAGAGCTGTTTCCCCATCTCACAGAGTCCTGACCTTGACGTGATAGAACGCTTTTGGGATGAATTAGAGCAGAGACTGCGAGCCAGGTCTTCTCATCCGACATCAGTGTCTTACCTCACAAATGCGCTTCTTGAAAAATGGTCAAACATTCCCATAGACACACTCCTGAACCTTGTGGACAGCCTTACCAGAAGAGTTGAAGCTGTTATAGCTGCAAAGGGTGGGCCAACTCAATATTGAACCCTCTGGTCTAAGCCTGGGATGCCATTAAAGTTCATGTGCATGCAAAGGCAGGCGTCCCAATACTTTTTGCAATATAGTGTATGTCCTTTCAAGATCAATTGTTCCCGGCCACAATGGGATGTCCTAGTGGTTTTGCAGGGTGCTTGTGGATCTTAGGGAGGCAATAAAGCAATGGAATTATTGGAAAATCAGTAATCAAAAATTTTTTGAGTTTGTTATCAATGATGCCCTGGTCTGAAGCATCCATTATTATCCTGTATATCCTAGCTTTAATCTCCACTAGCAGATCACCTTGCAACTTACAGTATATCTTCCTATCTGATAACTGACACATTACTTCAGCACGGTAGTCTCATTTGTTCAATACTACGGTGGCCCCGCCCTTGTCAGCTGGCTTAAAAACGAAATCTGTGTTTTCACACAGTGTTTTAAGGGTTTGTCCTCCCAGGATAAATTCCCATAGGATTGTTCATGCCTCTGTTGCCAACAGATGCGTTTAACATCCCTCTGTATGAGCTTGACAAAGGCCTCCACTATGTGGATACATATGGAGGGAGGCCAACTGCTTGGTTTCCTGCACATCTTCAAGTCAATCCCAGGAGGAGAAAAACCTGCTGATTGAGTATGATTTGTGCTAGATTCAAAGTACGCAGGTAACCTTAGTGTGTGGAAAGGCATATGTTGGACAAACCTAACGTGAAGTTTGGATTAGATTTGGCGAACAGAAAAGAGAAGTAAGGAGGGGTGACCCTACCTCACCAGTAGCACACCATTTCTGGAATGTAAATCACAACAGCTCACAATTACGGTTCACTGTGATTGAGGAAGTCAAATGTCTACCAAGAGGGGGAGACTTGGCTAAGGCTGATACTTCACTGGGAATTATATTGGACTTATAAACTGGAAATACTATACCCTAAAGGTATAAATGAAGAATGTGAGCTTACGGTATTTCTTCAATTTGGTCTGGTTTTAACTTGTTGTCCATATACTGTAAAATCAAATTGAATGGTCTACTTAAAATTTAATGATTACTAATTGGTGCTCCTATTTTTCTTATGAGTTGGAAATTGTTAGTATTGCACAGTTCTTTTTCCATTGTATGCTACATAAACCTTTTGGATTGTGCAGAGATTGGACAATCGGATTATATGGTGTATGGCCAGCTATAGAGAGGGGTTCTGCTGTAGATATTATTTGCTATTTTTCTCTTTATATATATTTTGGATTAAATATGTGTAGAGTGTTTTAAAATGGGTGCACGCTGCTATTTATTCTGAACATGTTTACCTGCGTTAAACGTTTCTCTCTTAAGCACTTGCCCTCCAGAGGATTTACCCCTCTTCCTGACCAGGCCATTTTTTGCGATACGGCGCTGCGTTTCTTTAACTGACAATTGCGTGTCATGCAATGCTGCACACAAATAAAATGTATGTCCTTTCTTTGCCACAAATAGAGCTTGGTATTTGATCACCTCTGCAGTTTTTATTTTTTGAGTTATAAAAAAAAAACACTGACAATTTTGAAAAAAAAAAAACAATATTTTTTTTTACTTTTTGCTATAAAACATATCCAGTAAAAAGATTTAAAATATCTAATTTCTTCATAAATTCATAAAATTTTTCTTCATAAATTCAGGCCAAAATGTATTCTGCTACATTACTTTGCTAAAAAAAAATCCCAAATGTAAATTAATTGGTTTACATGAAATTTATAGTGTCTACAAATGGTGGTATGTATACTGGAATTTTTATTTTTATTTTTTTTTTATACTAGTAATGGCGGCTTTCCGGCCACACAAATTATTGGGACCATATGACACCCGATGCCCCCAGAGGGCCCACTGTGGCAACAAGGCACACCTTATACAAATTTTTGGGTGTGTGGCCAGAAAGCCACATTTGTTTTCCAGTTCGTTTTTTTTCTTGCTGCCCCCCCCCCCCCCCCCCCATGGCCTTTGTGCTCATGGTGATGGCGGTGGCTGCCGTACCGGTTTGCCCATGGATTGGGGAGCATTGGATCCGTTGAATTTTTTTTTTTCTCCCATCTGTACATGTGTGGGTGTCCCCACACGCTCGCAGATTATCAGCTGGGCTCTGCGCTTGCGTGGGTGTCCCGAGCATGCGCTGACTTTCCTAGCCAGGTCGAGTTACGTAACACACCGCGTGGCGGTGGCGTGCCCGGTTGGGATGTTTATAAGTGGTGTGGGCTGGTGTACGGTCTCTTGGGACTCCTCTACAGCTGAACGAACCTCGTCGGGGACCCCCACGAATCTTGGGCTTTTCCATGGCTACAGGTATATGATCTTCCATCGGGTTGAGAGAAATTACAATTAATATAGAGGGGAGTCACTCTAATGAGGGTATTTTCCTTTTCTGTTTGTCTTTTTCAGGCCTATTAGCCTCTTTATCTATTACTGGAGATAATTTATTGTGGGCTAAGTCTAGAGCTGTCTGTCTCTTATTCCCTAGTGAGGGATTGCATACATATTGGCCCTCACGGTTTATACATCTTTT